TCTCTTTCTCGTCGTTTGATTTGATGAAGGAATATGCAGAGATAAGAACGTTAGTCTCTGATTCCCGCAAGATATCTTCCACAATGTAGAAACAGGAGAAAGAAATGGGGATTATTACCTTGCGGATGTTACATTATTACATCACACAGTTTCTATATAAATAATGTGTTAAGGTTGGGGAAGAAGAACATGTTCTTGACCATGTTTACAACACTTTTGCTTCCTCGATGATCTCAAGTTCTGATAAGTGTCTGCCACAGAGATTTCTATCATTTCGCTGTGCAGATTTTTCACTGAACGCTTTCAAAATTTCTGGGAAAATTTGTACAAGAAAAAAAGATGACCAAACACAGCAGTTTTCACACATGATATCGGGACAGAAACAAGAAACGGAGATCAGATCAGGTGTTCTTAGGGTTTGACCATCGACCTTTCTTCCTCATCCTCCGCTTCCGTACGAGCTTCTTCCTCCGAAGCCTCACTTTCTTAGCGAGCTTCATCTTCATCTTTCGCTCAAGCTTCTGCACCAGCTTCGCCTCCAATGGCGGATCACCGACCGGCAAGTTCTCCTCCTCATCATCATCACTCCGATCATCGGAAACCGGGGTCTCCGACTGGGGAACCGCACAAACAGCCCACGTCGAAGCAAAGGGTTGTCGGAAAAGGGACCCACTTAGGGTTTTAGCGGAGAAAGAGATGGATAACGGCGGGAGAGTGGGAGCTACCACAAGAACAGAGGGAAACAATCTCAGACACGAGAAAATCAGACAAGGATGAGAGGAATCGGCATTGAGAGTGAAGGGTTTGGACTTGGAGAACGAGCTCTGTGAAACGAACAGAGCCATTTGGTTGTGCTGTCAGGTCACTCAACTACATCATGTTAGATTTCGTTTTATATTAAACCATTTTGGACAGAAAACCCTTAAACCATTTACGAATAAATCATTTTGTCATATGCTTCATCTGTTCATTCTTTATATGTGATTTTGAACCTAAATAGTTCCGAGTTTGAAATCCGACCATTGTGGCTATTCTGATTCTAAGTCAGAGATCAGATATGAAGAGATTAAAACCCGTGCTTGAACTCTTTTATTTAGAATCAGTTTTCCTTCTCGCGAATACGTAAATATGCATTTATTCATACAAGAATCGGAATGAAAACTTGGATACAAATAATATGAAGCAATCATTTTCTAAAAGCGAAGCAAAATTTAAAAAAAAAAAACTGGGTAAAAATGATTCAAACTTCCATAGAATATGATGAAAGAGTCCAAAGTGCATGAAAGAAGAAAAGATACGATCAGAACCTTGTCTTCTTCTTTAAGCTGGCTGCTGCTCGGAACAAGAGTTTTTTTGCTCAAACGACCTGGTAATTCTCTGCGATGAGTTGCGTCCTCTGCGCAAACTTTGGAGGGGCACCTCCTCTCAGCGGAACGATCCCCATCACCTGCATCCATCACATATTCGGTATTCAGTCTCCTAACTATCGGGAAATTCCCGTATAAAACGATATGGAATCCAACGTTTTCGGTCCAATATTCATTGACATGGTTTGGGTTTCGATTCATCTGTTAGTGTGAAAAGAGGGGGTGAAGAAGTGAGATGTGAGTAAGAGAATTTACCCTCAAGTCGCTGTAAGTGCTGGTGGCTGCGAACCCGACAGAGATGGGGAAGAAAACCGACGAATCCACTGGTGGCACCACAAACTCCATTGATCCGCTGCCCCGAGATTTAAAACACCGAGTTATACCAGAAAGAAAGTTGACAGAGATGCGAATTTATCGAATGGTGTCGTCGATTTACCTGCGGTTAGAGTTGTCAATGAGAAGTATTGACCATTCCAGAACAGAATTCCTCGAGTCATACCTGAAATGCATTCATAACAAATGGTTGGCTCGTAAGTAAAGGTTCATTTGATTTCAAAAACCTAGAAAAAAAAAAGTGATTAAAAATTTCCAAACCTCCACTCCCCGTCGATTTGTCTGACACTGGGTGCCTCGCGGAGAGCAGGCAGCGGTACGGAGATAATCACATTCTGCAGATCAAAGATTGACGAGGCTTCGTACTCGATACTGACATAGGTCTCGTTTCCAGAGACTGAGGGCCAGCAGTTAACTGCACAATATGGGGATGGATATTCACATAAAGAAGACAGGACAAGTTAAAATGTAAAAACTGTAAAGGAGAAACCACAGTAACTTTTTAGACTTACTTGTTAATGGCACCATTGATTCGTCTGCTCCTTGCATTCTCCATCTCAAAAGACCAACACCATCTCCGCCTTGACCGGTGGGGAATGGCCGGTTAGGGTCCTTCAGACCGAGGATATTCTCGTTAGCAAACAGTTCTTTGTTTATGTTAGGATGGGTCTTGAAAAGGATGCCGGGATTTCCACCAGTTTCGATCTGAAAACAAAACAAAAAAATACGACATATCATCAAGTTCATAGCAAAGAATGACACAAACGATTAGAGAAGATACACACATGCGAAAGAGCTCACCTGAACTTGGACCAGACCATCTTCTTGGTTAAGAATTTGGAGAGACAAGGTGCCTTGAACATCAAAGTTACTGATTCCGCCATCCCGTCTCAATGTGACACTGAGCTTCTCTTCAACCGTCAATGTGTATGGATCAGTTGGAGGTGGAGCAGCCACTTTGGATTGGCCTATTATAGGCTTAACATCTTCAACAATGACTTCACCTTCTGCTTTAAGGGACTCCATCAACTGGTTCGCCCTCTTGGACTTGCCAAGTTGCATGCCATGACCCTTGGAAGGAGCAGTAGCAGAAGACCTAAGCCGATCTGTGAAGGTTAACAACAGTCAAAAAGGTTTCCACATCACAGAGATCTTTGATCCAAGCAAGGTGCCACGAAATAAAGGAACTAAACCGATTAATCATGGAGTTGGGACATTTCGGAAATGGGAAACACTCGGGAGGAAAGCGGACAGAAGGCACAGACCTTTAGCTTTGGTACCAGTAGGCTCAATATCTGAGATCATGCCAAAACCAGATCCACTTCCAAAACCACCACCACCACCACCTCCGCTGGATATGCTCATGTCACTGAAACTGCTCTCAAGTTTTCCAGATCCCATTGAACTCAAGGACATAAATCCTCCCTTGTCACCTCTATTCTTCTCAATCTGGGAATCGCAGAACAAATGTTAATAGGATTTACAGAAAAAGAAAAAACAAAGTAGTGAGCATTCCCAGTTATGTACCTTGCTTTTGTCAATCTCACTAGCCTTACGCTTCATCACGTCTCTAGTCTCATTGATTTTGCTCTGCATGACCAGTTTGTGCAATTTCTCCTCATGACTCTCCATCTCACAGTACTGCTTAACCTGAGCAACTGTGACACTCTCCCTGTGCCCAAGGGAAATGACTTCGTCAAAGGCAAATATCAACTCAAAGGCAGCCCCACCAATCCCTTCTTCATCTAAAGACATGGAATACTCGGGTACCTATAAACATTTGGGCAGTCAAATTGCATGGTTTTGCCTTGTCTGTATGAAAGATATGTTAAAGTTTGAAATTACATCCTCACCCTTCAGAAAAATAAAATTGAGAAAGATGAGGACTGTCTGTATCTTAGTAAACAATATTGAAAATAACAAGGACATTGAAGAATCAGTGAACACAAGATGCAACAGCACAAAGCAAATTCCACCTTGAAGGTAACCAGGACCCAAATAGATCAAGGGCAAAAGGAGTTAAACTCAAAGAAGAAATTATAACTCAAAAATGAAGACAGACACATACAAGTTTGGAGAGCATCCTCAAAGTGTCCAAATCTTCTAGAATGTTGCTCTGCTTGGTTGTGACAAGAAGCAAAAACAAGGCTTCAATAGGCTGGTAAACATATCGGACATTCTCAGTCTCAACATATGTATGCTGCTTGCCAGTGCCAACCAGCTTGGGAAAAGCTGCAAGCAGGCCTTCAATTCTGATACGAGACATGTCCACAAATTGTCTGGAAACAAGCACTGAAATAAAAAATTCAAAGTAAAGTGAAGCTCATGAAAAGCTAAACAATAAAAAAAATGGAATAAAAATGCGCCAACAGCTATCTAGTAACATAAATCATAGAGAACAGTTGAATGATATGAATGATTCAGAAAGAGCTCACCTTTCCCGGACTTACTCACGATGGAAGCAGCTAGGACAACCTACATAAATCACAGGTTATAACCTTAGCAAGGTTCCATGTACCACCAAACAAAAAAAAAAATAGGAATCTAAAGTTGCACAAATTAGAGCAGACAGTCATACCATTTTGATTGGCTTTTTGGATCCCAACAACACCAACAACTAGAAGGAAACAACTGAACTGTAAAGAACCAAAGATATAGAAAACCCGGTTAGCACCCTAAACAAAAAATGTGAATCAATGGCAAGAACAGAAAGTGTGAATGAACTTGATATCAAATACAACAGTGCGTCGGCTTCGATTTCAAGGGATAAACTATCGCATTTACGAAAATGGCGACTTTCTAGGGACTTCTCCTATTTGTGATTCAGCCATCAAGCTGTGTTCAGCTTAAAGAATTCATCCGATCTATGTCTCACTTATAATTTCGGGCACTTTCGCATTTCTCCAACAGTACCTATTTCCACCGTACAGTAATTTCATTTTCGAATCACGGATCACAGAAGAGATCTCGCATCCGGTAAAGTTGAAATGACGAACCAGAACGAATACGAAGAATTCACAGTGCGACACAAAAAAAAAAGTGCAAATCAAAATCCGAGAAATGAACCCTAGATCAGACCGATCTAAGACCGCAAGAACAACACTAAACCCATAAAGCCTATTTAGAATCAATACCGCCATTACAGGACATAATTCAAACATAATACCAAATCGAATCACACGGATCCGAGAATGAGAAATCTCATCAAATGTAGATCCGAGAATTTCCGCAAGGAACCAAACGAGAAGCAGGAGAAGAGACCGTACCCTGGATCGATCTCACAATAGCATTAGGAGCTTCCCGAGAAAAAGATCAGAGGAGGACTGTGTCTGTAAAACAAATTCGAGTGAAGTTTTCATAAAATTTCATCGCGAAAAAAATATAACGTTCCGGAGGCGTGAACAAACGACAACTGGAGAAGCAGCAATATCTGGTCTTGGGCTTAACTGTACGGCCCATTAAGTCGTTCACTCATTTTAATTTCGGCCCATTTGTAATCCCTAATTGTAACTTTCTTCATATAAAATTACAAGGCAAAAAAAAAATAAAAAGAAAAAAAAAACTCAGTTGTCTATGGACGTGTTTCATTGGACATATGGACTACTTCTTAGATTAATACTATTACAATTATGGGTGACTGAATATTAATTTTAATTATTTAAATTAATTTATATAAAAACGTTGAAAATTAGTATGACCCAATAAAATTAGAAATAAAGCCTTATCTTTCTTTAATAATATTTTTTTAAATGTCTCTTAGTGATAATGTATTAAATGAGTATGAAAACATTATTGTAGTTGATTTATTATATTCTGATGGAAAACAATTTAGTGTAAAATAACATGATTACTCTCATATTTGACTGCAGAGTTTAAGTTATGGTCGGTTAATAATAAGACAAGAATAACAAAAAAAACATAAGAGACGTGAAAAAAAAAAGAGAGTGACGACCATATCCATATATATTATATATAATGTATTTTCACCGGAGGTGTAAAACGGGTGGTTCGGCCCGATCCAACCGTTCCGATCTGAAAATATTTTAACTCAACTCAATCCGATCCGTTTTTTAACGAGTCAAAAATTATTTGGTTCGATCCAAATGTACCAATTCGCAAAACAAATATATAATTAAAAAAATAAATTTAAATACTAAAAAATATTATAAATATAATAAAAATTTTAAAATTTAAACAAATAAACTGGATATCTATTAAAACACAATTTTTATATAAAATATTTAAATATATATATAAATTAAAAATTAAAAAAAAAATCTGGTTCACGAGCGAACTTGTGGGTTCGGCGAGATAACTCGTCTGACCCATTTTTTTTCGGGTTCAAATATTCTAAACTCGAAAAAATATGGAATAAGGATTGACTCGGGAGGCATCCCACCAGCCGAACCCAATAAAAATAAACTATACCCAATATAACAAGAACAAGAAGATGCTACGTTCTTTTTTCGGTCTTTGAAGGATGGTAAGCTTGGAGACAGGAACCACTCAATTCCAAAACAAGAAAAAAAAAAACAGGCAGTGAACTACCCACCTCCATTTCCAGCTTTAACCATGGAAACACCTACCAATTCATACACAGAGTGAATGACATAATTCAGACACAATCAATGGAGAGTTGAGATCAAGACAGGACACTCCTCGGCTCTACCAACTTGTTCAACAGGCAGTCAGGATTCGGAACAGGAAATACTACCAACAGTTGAATCTATTTTGTATGAAATTTGGAAGAGTGCACAAATCCCTCTGCTACGTTTCCAACAACAATAACAACTCCATGGCGGATGCTTGAGAGATGAATATATTAGATTCGAAATGATACCAGGGACAATCTGACTTCCGGATTTGTCAGAGCCCCGGAGACGGAGACAGAAGAACTGAAGAACATCGGGATCGGAGAAGTCTTCCTTTCCGAGGTACTGAGGATCATCGGGCTAGTTCTCTCCTTCTGTCGCCCTCGTTGCTCTTAAACAAGGGAAGAAAGAGCTGTGGAAGTTCAAAGAAATTGTTGTGGATTTCATAACGGTGATTGTAAAACAAACGTGACGCAACAATTTGAATTCCAATGATACTAAACTCACGAGTCCAGATTTAATATCATTGGAATTCAAACTATATAGCCACATTTTACAACCACCGCTATGAAACTCGATTTATGTTATGTTACCAGATACAATTACTTAGAAACCTATGGATTTAACCAAAGATAATCATGCTATGAAATGCCACACACATATATGTGTGTGTGTGTGTGTAGTGTGATCAGTATCCCAGTTTTGATCCTCAGTCTCTATCTTGTACCAAGTTGTTGACCATCTTAACCAAAGGAACAGTTCCCTTGGACATGATCTCAAGTCTAGACGTGTTGGAAGCGTGTGAGAAGAGCGACAGCCCGAAGAACAACAGCTCCGGGAGGAACAGCCGGGACGACAAGAATCCATGCCAATAGAGAGGTTCCAGGTCAAAGAAGGCGTCGAAGAATCTTCTTGTAGCATCTAGGTCAAGCTTCAGCAGAATATCCATTCCAAAACAGAAGAATTCCCTCTGCCTACGCCGTTCAATCGGCCACAAGTCTCCCCACACTTGAGCAGAGAGTTTATTTCCTCTTAAGGTTTTATCCGAACCAAGGCTTCGAACAATGGCATTTGCAACTATGGGAGCTGCTGCAAGAGTCCTAGCCACCATGTAACCGGTTGAAGGGTGTACCATTCCGGCCGTGCCTCCGATCCCAACAACCCGTTGAGGCAAGACAGGCAATGGGCCTCCCATCGGGATCACGCAGTACTCGTCCTCCTCAACTCTCTTCACATTTATGCCCAGATGCTTCAGCCTAGCAACCATCCTTTCTTGGATATCCTCCATACGCAATCCAGGTCTAGCGACAAGAGAAGTTTCCTCCAGAAATATCCTGTTGGACGAAAAGGGCATTGCGTACAAGAACGTCGGAAGCTTTCTGTTCCTCTCCTTTAATTCCCGGGAGTTTTCAAGATGGCTATCTCTCCAGTCCATGAAAAGCATTTTGTCTACATCAAACGGGTGGCCGTCAACCTCAGCCAAGATTCCATAAGCCACTTGGTAACCTGGATTGTACGGCTTATCATACTGAACAAGGCAACGGGAGAATCCCGTGGCATCAAGAACCACAGCAGCCTGAATCTTTACACCATCACTACAAACCACGGTAGAATTAGACTCCGCATGAATGACATTAGTAACTCTAGACTGGTGAAACTTCACACCATTGGATATGCATTTCTGAAGCATTTTGGATTTTAGCAGTTTCCGGTTAACTCTCCCATAAGGTCGGCCTAAATCCTTCTTGACGTGATCATCAACGTAGACAACAGCACCAGACCAGGTGGTGTCAAGGCAATCAAGCAAGTCCATAGCCTCAAACTCATCCACCCAAACCCCATAGTTGTTAGGCCATATGAGCCTTGGAGATGGATCAATCGAGCAAACCGAGAGTCCAGCCTCGGAAACCTGCTGGGCAACAGCTAGACCAGCCGGACCACCACCAACCACGGCCAAGTCCACAGCTTGACTCTTACAAGGGTCGTATAAGGGAAGCTCAAAGTCAAGATTCTCCTTCTTTGTTTCAGGAACAAGGTCCAAGAGTGTGCTACTGCTACTTCTACTTCTACTCAAAGCATAAACACCAAGACCAGTCTTTATTCCCCTCTTCTTATGACAAAGTTTAACCCTTGAAGGGTTCAGAATATTACTACTACTGCATTTCTCAAGCCCATGAAACTGGGAGACGAATTCGAGCTTGTTGGGAGATCTCAACAGAGTATCCATGGAATCCCAAATTGGGTCAGTTCCCAAATTGACGAAACGCTAACCTAGAGAAAGATAAATTCAAATTCCAGGAGAAAACCCGAGACGATTTCAGACCAAAGAATTGCAAGACCTACAAGAATTAGAATTAAAAAAAAAAAAAGGTTTCATGAAGTGCAGCAAAAGATACAGAATTTGGGGGCGGAAGCCGCGGAACTCGAAAGGAGAAAACGAATGAACACGAGGGAAATGGCGTACTTACCCAGAGGCGGAAGCTTCATGGAGATGACGAGTGTTGAGTAATATATCCAAAGAACAGAGTTTCGAAGAAGGATAATACATGGCGATGCTAACCTCGGGGCAAGGAGAAGAAGAAATTCAATGAGGGTAATGGCAAAGGAGAAAGAGCCTACAATTTTTGTGGTCCACTCACTGGCCATTTGGATATTGTAATCAGACCCAAAAGTAAATTTTTTTTATGCGTTTCTATTTAAAAAGTTGGAATTTGACGAACACAAAAGAAGATAACCTGGATTCTTATACAAAAAAGATTATATATTTTACGATATAATCGGATATTAATTTTTAAAGTTACATCACTTTTTTATGCGATTAATTTGTTTGCTTGTTCATATGTATTTCTCTATTAAAATTTTAGATTAAAATTAAATTAGTACTTCAGAGAAAAAAAATTACAACAAATCAGATTATAAACTCAGGCACAAACGAAATACATCATCAATCAAAAGGAAAAAAAAAAGGAACATTTTGAAGAGAAGAGATAAAAATAAAAATAAAAGTAAAGTGAGATAATTCACGCACTAAAATTACAAGTTCTTAATCTGTAATATTAGCAATAAAAAGCTAACAAAAAGAACCTCTTACTAAGTAATAATAACAATGTTAGTGACCCTATAATACACCCACTCAACAAGTCTTTGCATAAGGAGAAAAAGGCCGAAGCTGAAAGGTTCCAAAAGCTATCTTTGTTGATTCTAAGAACCTCTGTACACAAGCCATGAAAAGAAACAAAACCCTGCAAGTTTGAAGGTTGAAGGTTGTGATGATTATGATCAGTTCATACACACAAAAAAAAACTGCAATGGTGTAATGATGATGATGATGATGTGTGGCTCACTCACCTGTTGCTACTCAATCGCTTCCGAGGTTGTCGTAACTAAATCCTTCAGATATTGTCTCCAATCTCTTGTTGTCCCCTGCAAACACATCTTACTTATCTTAGTCTTCAGTTTTTTCCCCCCTACACCTCTCTCTCTCTCTCTATCATTAACAATTCCGGTTTCAGACATTCCCTGTAGGATTCTTCTACCAGAACAGAATGTCTCACATGTTACCAAGTTCCATCGCTTTTGAAACGGGCTTCCTCTGATGTTTTCCTTATGTTTACAGATGCTTACCTTGGTACTCTCCCCTCTCTCGAGAGTCCAGGAAGTTTTCGTTATCGTTCACAAGGAAAGGCGACCGATCATAGCTCTCCAGAATGTCTGAAATTACAAGTCAACTTACGGTAAACAATGAAATGCAAGTTCCATGAATATGCCCAGTTAAATCATGAAATGAAAATAGGTAAGAAAGTGGTTTCAGAGAAGCAGCCAGTAACTTGGCTTGTGTGTGTGTGCGTGGTGGCGGGAAAGAGAGACTAAAGAGAGGGAAACAGATAATGTATAAGAGATAGAGAGGGACCTGAACTCTGGGAGAAATCAGCTGTCAGATCAGAGAGACTGAAATTCCGAGGGATTTGTCCTAAAAACCCGAAAGTAGAAGTGTCTGCATCAAGAAGCGGATCATTGAGGGGTTGGTTGTTGGACTCGCTACTGAAAGATCCAACGGAAGCATCTCCGACTACTGAGGAATGTGCCTCAAGGGTAGTCCGGTCACCACCATACATGAACTGACCACACATCGAATAACCATCCTCGGGTTTGATCATTCCTCCACCATTCATACCTTGCATCAGATGCATGCTAGTTACCTGTGAGGAAAGCATGTTTGGAGGAGCATCAACTCTCCTAGCATGGGTTGAAATGTCTACAGAAGGTGGCACATCTGTATTCAACGATGAGCCTCCGTTGAGGAATGCATTGGACAGAGCAGAAGCCATTGGATGATTATGTGCATTTTCTGACTTCAAGGATTGATCAGTGTGCTCTGGTGCATAGCATACTTGCTTCTGATGCGCTGTCAGAGGAACTTATGTCAGTTTTGCTGGGCTATATATCAACTCATAACTGCTCCATTTTTCTACCACTAAGAACAAATCCACGAGATTGTAGAATAGGGATAAGTTTTGAGACTTAAGCTGAAGCAGGGTAATGAATCTACTAAGTTATAAATAGCACATTCTACTAGACTCATGTGCCTTCCGAAGACTCAGAACAACTTGAAAACTATCACCACTCGAAAGGCTCAATCTTGATATCATAAAAGAAATGCCAAAAGATGGACAAAGTAAGAGCAAGTGAAATGCAAACTAAAGACCCACTACTACTAAATATCCGTTACCTGATGGAATATGAGAACCATTTGTAGTCTGGACAGGATCAACTTCAGTAGGGTGAAGCTGACGCATGAGCTGAACTTGCTGCTCAAGCAGCTTGTTGAATTCCATTATCTGGTGCTTCACCATGAGCCTGAGATAATAAGCCTTGAAAAATTCCCGATTCTCTTCTTCAAGCTTCTGCCAAACTGTAAACCAGAAGATAACCCAAGGGTGACAAAAATATCCAAACAAGTTGGCACCAATATCTGTAATAAATTCTGCTACTGTTGCCACCATCATCAACCCTCGTTCCAGACACTTAGCCTCTCACTAACCTGATGACCGACTAGTATTCAATAATGTCATTAAGTCACGATTACATCTCTCGGGTATATCACTTCCTAACTGGGTTCTTTAACAGATAAGACCAAAAAGGTGATATTTCACAAAAAAAAAATGCAACAAAAAAATATTTTACACAACCTCGATCAAAATCCTTCTCCAGATGGCAATGGCCCAGGGATAAACAAGTAAGAAGTGTTGATAGATCTCAACAAAGAAATTGATCCAATAGCCAAAACCAAAGACAAACAATGGAGGATTACATCATCAAATACTACTGGTTTAAAACTGAACAAAAGACTGCAGGGGTCACCTAGTTCTGTAAATCCAGGCTCTATCTTAGCCTGCTCCAGTAGGGTGTCCACAACTTCTTTCTGGTTCATGTACAGTTGGAGGCATCGCTCTATAAGGTTTTGAACCTGTAACGAAATAATAACGGTCCAAAGAGTAAGACTTTCTTCAGCTTAAGGTTATCCCAGAAAGAAATAAGACGCAGAACCTCAGGCTGAAAAAGGGCAAAAAAGCTAAAGAGGAGAATAGCTAAGATGTTTTAAGTGGACTCAAATGAAAGCCCTGTTAGGAGTTGTTGTGACTTTGGTAAAACAAGAAATCTAAAACATATCTAGCTGAGAAAAATGATAAGAAAACAGAAATTTCATGCTTTTGTATCTTACCAACTGTATATCTTGACGAGACACCCTTCTCACCGGTCCACTTGACATGCCGACCAAATGCTAGCGAAAGAGATCTTATTCCTGTCACGAAGAAGCAGTATCAGAATATATTTATCACTTGAATAGCTCGTAAGAGAATGTAGCAGACATCATTTCACCTGGAAAAAATCCAAAAAATATCAACTACCAAAGATATCTTAACTCCTACTCTTCATCTTTCAGAACATTGCGCTACTTAACGTTAGCATCAAATAATAGAATCTCTCAACCTTTCTTAAAGGATGACCTTTCTGTTCCCATTTGCCCAAAGCAGTTAACCGCCGATATAAAAACTACAAAACCCTATTGTCAAACTACAATCCACGTAAACGAACTGGCACGAAATCGCCAAAAAGCAAACTATAGGATAAAAATAGCAATCAAACCATAAGAAATGCACTAAAATCAATCCCCCGTCTTGCTATTTCAGTGGAAAAGGCACCAAAATCGCAAACCGAAACGAAATCACAAGTTCCTTGATCAGCGAACAATACCAATCACCCAAAAAAAAAGAGGAACCAGAAATTTGCATTCGGATAGATTTTTTCTCCGGCAGCGGAGATAAAGAGAGTAGACAGAATCACGTATTCAAGAACAGATAGAGAAACCCGAGGGGTTTGATCCCCAACCATAAATTCGCAAACAGGATAAAGCAATCACACCTGAAATCATCCTATATTTTTCCCCCGCAAAACCTCGAAACTAATGCCATCTCCATACACAACCGGATCAAATCATATATCAAAACACACAAAACGAATAAGACACAGATTGGATTAGGTTAAAACCCCCGAAAGAAGTCAGACAACAACACGAGAGATCAGACCGAGACTAACCCATACCTTGATCTCGAATCCGAGAAAACAACAAGGGTAATCGTCGGGAGAAAGAAAAGAGGAACCCACCTTCACTAAGCCTTTCTTTTTCACGATGGATTATGGTGATCGTGGTCGTGGGAGAATTCCCTCTGTTCTTATTTTATTTTAATTAAATTATTTAAGCCGGGCGCAGGGAATCTGCCACGTGGACAATGTAGGGTTTTGTTCTCCGTGTCAAACTTTAGCCGTTTTTTTCTCACTTTTAAAAACATTTGATGAAGAAATAAATCCAATAAATAATCCAATATGTAAACTTATTTTATATTATTCATATTCAGATATTCTCTTTTTTATAGCATGATAACAAAAATTATGGTGTGCAATCTACAAGCAATTGATACAATGTGAATGGGCAATGCCTGTAGATTGATAATAAATTTGTGTGTGTATATATATATATATGGACGAGCCAACCCTCGTCATATATATATATATATATATTTGCTTTAAAAGTTTAAATGGCCAATGCCAGTGAAGCCCAAAAGATTTCACCTTTTGTAGGCTTAATGAGCCCATCTCTTTGGTACGTAGAAATAAAAAGTTATATATATATATATATGTTAACCAAAAATAAAGCCCATAAAATTAGAAATTAATTGAATTTCAACTCCAAATTGTATGTCATTAAAAGAAAAAATATATTGAGAAGCAGAACGGATAAAATGAATAAAAAATGAATATTCGTAAATTACTAATCTGCTTTACTGTTGATTTTATATGACATTCTATTCACATTTTTTTTTATAATAATCACCTATTAAGGAAAAAGAAATATTCTAGAGTATATTCCTCTCACCTATTACGGGAAAGAAAAAAAAAACATTACTCTAGTGACCAAAAATGCTAATATTCTTCTGTAGTGGTGAAGTCATTAATGATAATGGTGCAACTTAAACAAACATATAAGCTTTTTATGGAAGTAAATGGTAACGGATAATTAAAAACTAATTAAGAAAATTAGTTAAAGTTTCCTTCAAGAGAACTTCATTTTATTATCAGAAGAAGAAAAATGGAAACAATTATCCAAACATTGTGACTTAATTACAATGACTCTACATTAATTAATTGCAATTAAAACCGGTTAGCAAAGTGGTTAAGAGTTTTTTATGTTCCCATGTGCTATAGTATAAATACATGCCCCCATATGCATCAAAGTTATATAAAGTTAAAAAATCATAGTTATAAAACCAAATTGACGTCTCTCTCAATGGCTGCTTCTGCTTGTATCCACTCGACAAATGATGGAGCTAAGTAAGATAATCACTTGCCAATATATATATAACTATATATATATATATAGACACACACATATATACACTTACGTATCTTTCATGCAAATATAAAGTTCATTTGTACAATGTTTGTTATGCACTTCCATCCATGCATGAATACATCCGTACACTCTTTGGCACATTTATGTAATGTACCTTCACTGTGAATTATTGCTTTTGAATATCAGATCGTGGGTTTGTCTGCAATGGTGGAAGATGACAAGGCTTTTATCTTTTATTTGGAGATTGTCTGTGGGTTTCTCCCCGAGGTATCTATTACATTCGAACAGTCCACGATATCATATGTATATATATATATATATAGTTATATATATTATATAGTTTGTTGATAATTTCATTGTTTTAATTAAATATAGAATAAACGGAGTGAAAGGGTTCAAAAGCATTGAGGACGTCCAAGATGGGATCCCAAGTGAAGTGACTGAGATTGTTCTTGTTCGTCATGGAGAGACCACGTGGAATGCTGCAGGAAGAATCCAGGTATATATATATATATATATATATATACACATACACACAAATACATCCCTGCAATATAGCCTCGTATATATGTCTATACATATATACATAAGTTTTTACGTTTGTTAAGCATACAAGATCATTAGATATATAAAAAAAACATGACGAGGTTGGTGTTGCCATGGCGATTCAGGGACAAATGGAATCGGACCTAAACGAGGTTGGACAGAAGCAAGCTGTTGCAGTTAAGATCTTCTCCATATGTCCTCTTCTTCTTCTGTGATTTGTACGTATATGTGTGTGTGACATCGTGTGTATATATATATATATGTGGAATATGTAAATCTCAGATCGCAGAGAGACTGGCAAAGGAGCCGAGACCAGCAACTGTGTATTCATCGGATCTCAAGCGAGCCAAACACACAGCCCTCGAGATTGCCGAAAACTGCTTTTGCCCTGAGGTCCGTATAAACACTTGTATACATCATACATGCATGTCACATATATAAATTTGTGTATGTATATGTTATATATCTTCCCGATGTGTACTGGGTCTCTCTCTCTCTCTCTCTCTCTCTCTCTCTCTCTCTCTCTCTCTCTCTCTCTCCTCCTACTTGTACGAGACAAGTTGTGTGTGTGAAGTCTAAAACATGGCATTGTGTGTGCTGACCAATATATATATACACACGCACACACAAAGATGACAAGAATGGGTGATATGTATGTATGCGTGTGTGTGTGTATGTATAGGTGATTGAGGTGCCAGAACTGAAGGAGAGACACGTGGGGAGTTTGCAAGGGCTGTTTTGGACAGAAGGTGAAGAAAAAGAACCTCAAGCTTACAGAGCATTTTTCTCTGACCAAAATGACCTCGAGATTCCTGTAAGATTCTCTACTCTCTCTTGAAGTTGAATATCCTTCTCATCTCATTTATTTATCTATTTATTAAAAAAAATTATAATTTTCACATGTATATATGTATATATAATAAACAAAAAAGGGTGGGGGAGAGAGCTTTGACCAGCTCTGTGAGAGATCCATGCATGCTCTTGAGAAGATTGCCAAGAAGCACAAAGGTATGTTGTTCTTCTATCATATACATACATATATATGTATGCATGTATAAAAAATGGGTCATTCTTCTTCTTCTTTTATCAGAAAGCGAACCCATTTGAGAGTACTGTTATACCTTTCAGAGAGCCATATGCTTATGAATATGTGTGTGTGTATGTATATGTGAAGGGGAGAGAGTGATAGTGGTGACACATGGAGGAGTAATAAGGGCAGTCTACATGAAGATCACGGCGGCTCCCTCCGCCGGCAAACTCCTCAACGCCTCCGTCAACGTTCTTCACTTCGACGGGAAATGGAGCATCAAGTCATGGGGCGACGTCTCTCACCTCTCCTCCGTCGGATTCCTCCAACGCGGCTTCGACGGTGACTCCAAGCATTGACCATTCACCAAACCCTGTCTCCGTACATACATACATACATACATATGTGTGTGCGTACATGTGCATGCGGAAGTGGAGGAAGATGCCCTTTGTTTGGAACAGCTTCTCTCTTTCTTCCTGCCTTCTATCTTCTTGTCCTGTTTTAATCGATTAATAAGAGTTTTCAAGGATTCAGAGGTTTTGATACATACAAATTGCTGATGCAATTCTTTTCCAATTTCACAAAAAAAAAAAACAGAAGTTGCAGGAGACACAACATACATTAAAAAAAATACCGGAATTGTTACACATAACTGTATGACCTATGAGCATATCTTATCAACAACTAAGGCTTTCGAAGGCAGCAACAATGGATGTCTCTCTAAGATCCATTATGTCCCTTACCCAAAGTTGCGTTTCACTTTCCAATCTTAAGTTAACAGATGAAGCTTTAGCCCGAACTCGGGGTTTTCTTGTTAAATATCGAGACGCTCTAGATTGATCCTAGTTGCAGAATTCTGGATGAGTTCCTTCCTGGCATCAACCTGAATCAGACGAGAACATATATTAGCATAAGGAGCTGTAACTGTAAGATCGAGCGAAAAAGGGTGGCTGCTAGTTTTTTGTCAGAACCATTTCTTTCTCTGTTCATCTACTTTAAAGAACTGAACACTGTTTGCTAGTGAACAGATAGATTGTTCCCACTACTTAATTCTCCTGTAATGTCCTCGACACTTGTTTATTTATACGAAACAAAAATCAGCTTACCCGTGAACCCATAAGAGAAGAGAAGACGACATTTGCTTCAGCAGCATCCTCGACCACTAGTTGCTTCAGTAGCCTTCTTTCAGGATCCATGGTCGTCTCCCATAGCTGTTCAGGCATCATCTCTCCCAGACCTGCAAGAGCATAAAAGGAAACATCACAACAACAACGAAAAGAAGAAGAGAACAACCCAAGAACAACCCAATGGGGAGTACCATAATGTGACATAGAAAACAGAAGAGATGCTACCAACATATCAATGAAGTCCAACTTCCTCAAACATCTTTTCTCAGTATATATATATATATATATACACACACACACATATATATGATTGTCAATTCAATCAAATCTCTCTTTTCTAAACGTAAGAGTTGAATGAAATAGTCTTTTATGCATCACCCATCCAACAGACGAAAGATTTGACATGTTTGCTTTGAAGAAACTGGACTCTAGTCAAATTGTTACATTCTGGTATTAGGTGCTCGAGATGCAAAAACTTCACTCTTGGTAAATATTGTTCCAGAAATCAATATTTATAGAAAGGATGATTGGAGGTCGAGACTTGGCTATATGCAAAGACTCGAGAGTATCTTATTGCTTCGGTTTGATATATTACCTTTGAACCTTTGAATGTTGTACGATGCATTTCCCGGGAATGATGCTAGCAGCTTTCTAAGATCTGCACCATCATAGCAATAGTGTGCATGTTTCCCCCTCTCAACCTGGCCGTTTTCAGACAGAACCAGCATTAAAAAAACTATCCACCTAAAAGTGTAGATCTAAAGGACAAAAACTGCTGAATGGGACAGATGCTAAGACTTACTTTGTAAAGGGGTGGAACACCAACATAAATGCAACCTTCATCAAATAAAGCTCTCTGTAGAAAAGAACTCTCATCTCAGTGTCAGTTTCACAACTATATTAACTCCGTTGGACAATCTAGAGGTTCATTTTACTCTGTTATCCTGAACTAATATACCTGATATCTATAGAAAAAGGTCAACAGAAGCGTCCGGATATGTGCTCCATCAACATCTGCATCTGTTAAGATGATAATTCTATGGTACCGTAAATTTTCCTTCTTAAAATCCTCCCCCTGAAAAAAAAAGATGATCAAACAGATAAAGTTTACCGCGATACTGAAAAGAAAGAAAATGGCCAAGGAATGGGAAAAGGGTATCATTACCTTCACTCCAAGGCCAAGGCCGAGAATTAGATTTTGAATTTCTTCGTTTTTGTACATGGCTGCTTCATCTTTTCTTTCAATGTTCAAAATTTTACCTCTTAAAGGAAGAATCGCCTAGAAAGATCCAAAATCCTGGTAAGTTATACGCTCAAACATAGGATGCATCAATTTACTAAGACTACAATCTATGTGCTTTAACTCGTCAAAAATGACCAAAGATAAACAATATATGGGTTGTTACATTTGCCAGTGCAGACTCGATATGATTCTATAATTTTTCAAAAGACAAGTGAAACCCAAAATGGCTTTCTACCACAGTGAGACCAAACCAAACTATATATTTATACTTTCACTGTACCCTTTTCTTGATCTTATTGCCACAAAAAAAAAAAAGAACGTAAGAAAAAGCCTGTGAAACAGTGTCTTTTTGGCTGGTTACGTATTGGCATACTAAAAAGGAGCCAACCATAGTTATCAACATCCAATCTTTTCATGCTTTCAGACAGCACGAGAGATGCTGTAACAAATCTACTCAAATACGGAAGAGAAACTTCACATGCTATGGAAATCCCAAGCACCAGAAGGGAGTCGGGTCAAGAAAAATGCAGTGTCAAACAGAAGATCTTCATATGATAAGTCATAGCCTTAGCTCTGAGGTATCAGCTATTGGGTCTCTCAAAAGATAGATATACATCCAGATCGGTATAGCGACATAATCAAATGCAGGTCCATGAAGCGTATTACCTGGAACCGTCTGTCACGACCCTGTTTAGCACTGCCACCAGCAGAATCTCCTTCAACTATAAAAATTTCTGGAGACATTGGCAAAAACATATGTTAATGCTTGATTAAACTGGACAGCTTGCAAATGTTAACTGCTGAAGCCAATATATGATCACAACCACTTGCTTACAATTTTCTACCACACTTTCAAAGTAAGAAGGTAGACTTCTTTTGCAATCTCATAGAAACCATATATTTGCGCTTCACATAACTTTATGACCGTATACACTTTCTCTGTCCATGTTCTGATTTAAATACAAATGGCATTCTCATTATGGCAAAGATATACCAGATTCCTCAGGGTTTGTTGATGAGCAATCAGCCAGTTTCCCTGGAAGCGAAGATGATTTCAGAACGCTTTTTGATCTGACCAACTCCCTTGCCCTCTTGGCAGCCAAAGCAGCCTACAAAAGGAAAGAGTTTGTGGATGTTTACATAGCCTAGAAACCAGTATTTTGAGAGAGTGTCACTGTATAGATAGTCATTTCTCAACTGATGCTACCGTTTTTCAAGGGATAAAAAAAAACACATTCCATTCCAGTACCTGAAATTGCGAATGCATGTATGCAGAAAAGATACAGAAATACAAGCTGGTACATCAATGGAGTACCTTGTAAGCGTTCAGGGATTTGGAAAGAATGCTCTCGAGCACATCAGGATGTAACTCCAGATACTCTGTCAGGTACTCCTGGACTGATTGATCGACAATTTTTCTCACCTCTGGATTTCCTAATCTTGTCTTGAGGGTTAGGAGATACAAGACACAATATTAGCGGCAAGAAATATTTAAAGAATACCCACCAAAATTAACCCCCGTTACCTGGAGATGATTGCTAAAGAAGAGTAAAACAATCATTATGCTTCAGTTACCTTTGTTTGACCTTCAAACTCAGGATTAGGAACTTTGACTGAGACGATGCAGGTCAGCCCTTCTCTGACATGTTCCCCACTCAGGTTAATATCTTTCTCCTGAAAACACAATCAACAATGCCAGTACTGACAATCTTAGAAAACAAATGTCATTCTCTACCAGATACTGGTAATGGTAAATGCTTAATCTCTTGCAAAAGTGATATCTGTAATTGACACGTTCCCTGGATATGTACACCATTCACTCTCCGTAATAGCACAGAAATACTGAAGAACAACTAGCTCACATACTGCAGATGTACAGGCATTCAAATTCAATCTGTATCAACGAAGAGACAAATATATTTATTGACCCACATCATTACTGAAGACACTTTCAACCAAATTATAATCATTAAAAACTGTCAGCAAATACCCTGTTCAGATTATTATGAAAAGGGAGAAAAAGAAGAAGACAGAGATGATCAAAACCTCCAAAGGACAGAAATAGAAAGAGCAAGGCAAACAAAGTTGGTTACTGGCGTCATACCTTGACAACCTTTGACTTTTTTGCAAGGCTATTAAGAGTTCTTGTTAACGAAGCCTTAACTCCGTCTATGTGTGTCCCACCGTCAATGGTGCGAATACTATTGGCATATCCCAGCATTGTGTCTGAATATGCATCTGAGCACCTGACACAATATAAGCCAAGAAAATTGAGATTAAACCGAACATGGATAGTTCACTACTTCATTAGACTCACTACACTGTATGCAGATATTTACACCACAAAAAGGACATCCTGATATAAGTCCTTTTTCCGAGTCCAGTTAAGAGATAGAGTAAACCATGAAACTAGAAGACCTTAGTGATCAATTATGACGGTTTACGATAAACATAATCCAATCATTTCCTGTATTTACAAGATGTGTGGAGCAGATAATAGCAACATACCATTGGAGCGCAACGTCAATGGTTGTACCATTTATCTCTTTTCTGAAACCCAGCACATCATGAAGCGGTTTCTGAGCGAAACATTTGTCAGTTACTCTTTTTGAGCTAACAGATACTCACAGTGATATAGAATATAGCAGCAATGATAGCGAGACATGCATGAAAAGGAATTAGTTCAAACAGAAACTTAGTTAATAATATCAGTTCCATACACAAGTTATGATAGAGCCCTCAACAGAGATGGACTACTTGGAAAATAGTGTTCAACATATCCTACCAGCTCCAAAGCTTGGGTGAGAAAAGAAACATCTAATACCAGAACATTTCATTTTGCCTCATAACAACTTTCCCTCTCTCTCAAGTAATTCAGCCCACTAAAAATCATAATAACATCTTAGCCTAGTAGATATATAAAAACCTGACAGGCTTTATAGAAATATCAGAAGTAACCCTGGGTACAAAGGCTCACCTTATCAGTATTTAGCCAAATAACATATTCAGTTAATCCTCCAGCATAAAAATATTCAGTATACAGACCCTTTTCAGGATCCTCCTCCTCCTTTTTTAGAGTGATTGTAACCTGCAAACATAAATACAGAGACCCTGATTATAACAAAATGATAACAAAAAATTGGATTCTGCAAATGAAATCAAGAACTTTATAAAAGAAACAAGTTGAAGAATGCTAAAGGAAGGAAAAAAAATAACATTACAACGTTCAAATGAAAAGAATTTAACACGGTTGCCCATGCTTTTAATAATAAGTTCACCTTTGGGTTCAGAAAAGCAAGCTCCCTAATTCGTCCAGCAATAGTGTTATGCTCAAACTGAATTGCAGTTGTGAATACTGGGAAAAAGTTTGTTCCGGAAAGGAAAATTAATCATCAAATCTTATCTCTGGGAGAGCAAAAAGAAAAAGTATTGGAAACAGGCAAAACCTTCTTTGTCTGGCCAAAACCGAATGCGTGTCCCTACAGAACTCTTTGAATCTGGGGGGACGACATGACATGTAAGTGTTGTTATGGGCTTTCCACGAGAATAACTTTGATTAAACTCCATCCCATCCCTCCAGACAGTAACCTCTAATGCCTGCAACCATTCAATATTGTCATTTCCTATAGCCAAACTTGAAGTCTTTCCAAATACAACTCTTGCTTTATGTTGGAAAAGCCAAACGCTTTTTCAATAACTAACAAAGAGTAATTTTGGTCTTTCGTTCCTGGAAAGAATTCCACAACCAATGTGTCCAGTTCTTCCGTGCATGAAAATTTTTGCTTTCATGCCAATGCACAAAATATTCGAAAGTACCTTATTTAACAATTTTTTAGGAACCAAAAAGAGGGATATAGAAAGAATTCCCTATTTCCAAAGGGAGAAAGAACCGACATGATTAAATATTAAGACTCACCTCAGACAAAGCATTCACAACAGATAAACCCACACCATGTAATCCACCAGAGACACTGTAACCGCTACTTGAACCACCAAACTTGCCACCCGCATGTAGGATCTGCACAATATCCAACTAGATTGATTAATTGCACAATTAAAAGAAACGAAGAAAAAAGACTGAAAACAAACAAAACTTTCCAGTAATGCTACATAAGCCTACTGTAAAAAACTTCCTAGACAATAGATCACCCTCTTTAACATTAAGAAAGAAGACAAGAATATTCACTAAGTGATCAAAATCAACTTAACTAGGATGTTCTGTCTGAAAATTCCAAGCCCTAAGTAGTTTGTAGAAGTACAAAAAATACACAAAGAGGGGTTCAGGATTACAAGCAATAATGATGCATTCTATATCTCAGAAAATGCAACAGAATAAATACAAGAGAAATACAATCTTAAACAAAATTTGGGAATACATAAATAAGTGCTTAAGAGTTCCCAATCTGTTCCGAGAAAATTTCATTATGTAGAATATTTTAGAAACCAGAAACCATTATGTTGTTGGAATTTATTTTTAAAGCATTGATTTAAGGTAATGCATTATCAATTATAAGGACTTAAGCGGCAATACCGTGAGGACAGTCTCCAAAGCAGATTTTCTTGTCACAGGATGCAAATCCGTGGGTATCTGCAAGAAAAGTACATATAAATGAAAACAATCATAAAGCTCTTGCGGTTTGACTAGGACATATCCATCAAGATGCACATAAAGCATTGTTCCTAGTCCTCTACCATTATCTTATTGAAGCAGTCTATAAGAGTCTAAGAGAAAAAAACTAAATAGCCAAAAAAATGAAAAATAAAATAGTATTCCCATATGTTGTTTTAACACAACAAGCCATGAGTGGATATAAAAAGCAAATCGGCAGTTTCATAGCATGATTAGAGAATCAGTCCATATGTTCAACAGTAAGCTCTTAACATTGGATAAGCAAAGAAATCACATACCCCACGCCCATTGTCAGTTATGCTCACAGAATTATCTGAGTGCAAAACAACATCTATCTTCGAAGCATAACCAGCTTGTGCCTCATCAACAGCATTGTCAAGTATCTCATAGACCTACAAGAAGAACACACATAGGAAATTTCGGAATCATATCTTAGCAAGAGCTAGTAGAACAAGGAGAATTAAAAGAAAAAGGGATTTACCAAATGGTGCAAACCACGAGGACCAGTGCTCCCAATATACATTCCAGGCCTTTTCCTAACAGGGTCTAAGCCTTCCAACACCTAACATAATAGAGAGCATTTGAAGAAGCAAAAACTGAAATTTAGAGCAAGCACTATTAACAACAATTAATGGTTGAAAAGCATTTTCCCATTGACTATAAGCAATAAAAGATCATGTTTTTTATGGCATGGCAGCATAACTATAGCTTTTTGTGTGATTGAGTACCCAAAAATAGACAAAGGTCAAGTAAACAATACAAAACAGAATCAGGATAATTGTAAGAATTACTTGAATTTGCTCGGAACTGTAACCCTTAGAGGTGGTGCTTTCTTGGAAAGCCTCGGTGGTGATGGTTGATGACATGAAGGGCCTTGATGAGACCGCATTTCTTTGTATCAGTCTACCACTCAAAACCTTGATTAACGGAAACTTTATCCTAAAATCGAAGGAAAAATACAGAACCCAACTGAGAACAGCCAAAGCATCAGAATTTCTGCCAAAATTAGGAAATTCACTAAGTCATTAAAACCCAGAACGCATACATTCGCGATATAAAGAGCTTCATGAGCAAGCCAAAGCTAAAGATAGAGACTTGGAATGGAAAATGCAAACTTTGAAGTAATTGGTATTCATATCAATCAATCGAAGCACATAAGTATCCAAACGCAGACATCACTTAGATTGCCAAGTTTCCACCGTAATATCGGAAACCAAACACAAATCTTTCACGGATGAACTAGCGAATTTCGATAAACCAAGCCGAACCCACGAATTTTTCAGTGACCGGAAGTAAAAGATTGGAACTAAGAATGCAAAGTTCCTCTTTTATCACTCCACCAATTTTCACCAGAAGCAAACAAAAAGAACGATGGCAGAGCAGGAAACCTGGGTCTGGCGCAGAGAAGCGAAGGAGAAGAGAGAGAGGAGCAGTGACGCTGAAGAGAAGGAGAGAGACAGCGAGAGAAGGGAGCATGGCGAGAAGCCATTATGACACGAAGATACAGGTGAAGATAAGGAGGTTTGTGAAGAAGCGCCATGGACGCTACAGAAACGAGAGGTTTTTCTTTGTTTTCTACTTGTGAAATAAACCCTAAAAGATACATACATAATTCGTCGACCCAATTTACTGAAGCCCGGTTTAATAACCAAACCGGAGAAATCATATAATCGAACCGGTTTTTGAACTCCGTCTATGACGGTGGGTCCAGTTTCCGACCGTTACGCAGACTACAAAAATGGAAATAAAAGGGGGGGCGGTACTATGAAATACCAGAAATGCCCCTGAGATTCAGAGAATCTTGTGAAGTTTCCTTTTTTCTTCTAGGAGAGGCGCGTGTGTCTCTATACGTACATTCTCATCTGTTTTCTTCCTCTCTCTCTACTGTTGCTCCTTCAATGGCGATGAAATCCGTCTCCTCCGGCGGCGCTTCCACTTCACGCGCTCGGTTGTCGGCTCGGAGATTAACTCAGAACACGCTGATGGAGTCTGCCTCTGGGTTGAAACCCCGGGATTCGGCGGAGAAGATGAGGAGGATGGTGAATGTGAGGGAGAGGAGCTTCAATGGCATGATTCCACCATAAATAATTTTCTTTGAATCTAATAACAGTATCTTATATAAAAAGAAAAATAACAATGCAAGAAGACATGATGGGGGAAGAAAGACTCTGCAGCAGGAAGAACAAGGAAATGTAAGCACTTGAAACAGAACAAACTACCATGTCATCCCCAGGAAGAAATTGTAATACAATCTAACATAATGCCATTACATAGATAGATAGATAGATAGATAGATAGATAGATAGATAGATAGATAGATAGATAGATAGATATAGATCTCTGTGTGTGTATAGTGTAGATACAAAAATCACTCTGAGAAATTCTCATCTCTTCAGGTTTACACAGGAAAAAACAACCCCCAAAAATTCTAGTTCACTGCCTTTTGTTGCTGGTCCAAGTCAACTTCCTACTATGAGCCAAGAATAGGAGGAGGAGAAGAAGAAGCAACATACTGAATAGCATTCTTGGCCTGTGAATGAGTTCATCTAAATCTTCGTTTTGTCTCTCCATAAGCAACAACGCCGAGTACTGTTATGGTGTACCCTCCAATTCCCATCACAGTGACTGGATTTCGGAAGAG